TCGCCGCCGAATGGTCCAAAAACATTTCAAAAAAATTCAACCTTGAATGGGTTAATACTGCCCTAGTACTAATTGATCAGCTCTCTAATTTCACAGTGAAAAACAGTGCAAGTTAATCATATTTCACCAATAAATAAAAATTGCACAGAAATAAATCTGTATTAATATTATTAAGGAATACTATCTATTTTTATAATCGTCTCAAAATTTTCCCAATTATTAGCGACTCTACTTTGAATTCCCTGATTTTTCCAGAGCAATGAAATTCCCTGATTTTCCCAGTTTTCCAGAAAGCAGCCATCCCATCACAATCTTCACTCCAGCATATTTTGAATCTGTCATGAATTTATGATTGTTCCCACAGGTATTAAGTTTCTTTCATTTCAACAAGATTGTTTATTATCCTTGAGACTGGTTCGTCATGTAGGGTTGTCCTTATGTTCTTAGATTACCTTTAATTACTTAAGAATTTTTTTTTCGGTTCCAGATGCTGACAATGCTGTGGAACTGTGCGAACAACTCAGCACAGCTGGCCGATAAGTTAGAACAGTGGAGATACTACTGACATACAACAATTAGCAATTGAAGAGTCTGGTGGAGTTAGGAAGAACAATAGTTGTTGCCCAAGTGAAATGGTACCATCAACAAAATGGAAAGTAAATTAAAAATTGTACTTCTATACAAAGACCAAGTATTGTGACCAATCACCTTGGAGTAAATTTTCAAAACGGGTCATTCACAAATTATTAATATAACTAAACATGACTATTATGAATGGAAACATTAGTTACAATTATTGCATAATGGATGATATATTGTGCATTTATGGATGATTTTATGTTATATAGAATTTTTACTATTGTTGGTCATGTGAAATAACATTCATGTAATATTAGCAGTGCAGCAGACCACTAACAAAATGTGTCTTGAAGTTGAAATGCTTTTTGGTGAAACATTAATTTCACGACTAAATGATATGGCTGTGTTGATAATGCAACGCTAAATATTTCCGGACCCGTTCATTAATTTATTAATACTTGAAATCTTGCAATCCTGCAAGATTGTTGTTTATTTATACTTGTGATCCAGTAGAGACAAAAAATAAAAATTTGTCTATGAACCATGAAAAGGAGCTAGTAGAAATGTGAGAAAATCTTTATAAATCAGAAATTATATTAATACAAAAAAAAGTAAAAAGGGATCTCATGCAAATTGTGACAAAATTGTAGTGGTAAAGAGTTTTCTAAAAATAATTTCCTTTTGCTTCTACCTTTTCTTTAAAGTTCTTGATAACATGAAGCATACCAACTTTCACCAAAAATTAATCAAACATATAACAATACATACACTAAAAGTGTCACAAATACATATTAACATGACATGTTTTTACTTGTAACATCCCCATTCACAAACACAAGGTTCCACTTACCAACAGAGCACAAAGCTGTGTTCGGCCTTTCTGGGCAGCTTCATGCAATGGTGTGAAGCCCCACTTATCTGTGGCATTCACAACTGTGTTGAATTTGATGAGCAAAGCTGCTATGTCTAAATGTCCATAGGAAGATGCATTGTGAAGAGGAATCAAACCACCCTTATCTTGGGCATTTACATCTGCTCCATGATCCAACAGAAATTCTGCTACTTCTAAATTATTATAACCAGCTAAAAGAGATACAATATCCCATCAATAGATAAAATATTGATATATATTGTCAATAGTACTGAATATTAAAATGTAAAATAACTTACTGACAAATTATTTCTTTATATTATCTTATTAAACATTACATTTATAACATCATTGAAGTATTTTAATATTTAAGGGAATATTAATTTTAAGATAATTACACACATAAACATACACCTAAGTAGACACACTCTTACATATTTAGCTATCATATACAGATATTATCAAATATAAAAAGTCACAGTTTTGATGATTAAAAAAAAAATAAAGATTAATTTGTGCAAAGTGACCTCCACTTATATATTTAGAAACAGGAAACAGAAATTTTGCCGTTTGTGATGCATTAGGAGAACAATTAAATTGCATTGTGCAAACTTAGATTAAAAAAAATTAAATTACCTGCTAAGTGAAGTGGCGTAGAATTTCGACCCTGAGCATCACGACAATTTATATTTTCAGCAGATACAAGTCGCTGCACACGAGCGAGATTCCCCTTCTTTGCAGCATCCAGTAATGCAGCATTGCCACGCAAGAGGTCAGCAACATCTTGATCCCCTTCACGCACAAGATCTAATGGGGTAGCCCCATCTCTATTCTTCTTACTAGCATCTGCACCATGCTGAAGAGAGATTCACTAATTCATTTGGGTAATAAAGAAAACTAACAATGTAACAAGCAATAAAACAAAATTACATTATTGATGTCCAATGTAGTATAAAAAACTTGCACCTTCTTGTACTTCAAAACTTTACAATCAATATGTGGAGCAAAGGTTTTGTCCTTATTTCCAAATTTAACTTAAAAATAGGCCAGGTACAAACTTTTGATCACTAGGGAAATGTTTCTTTTCTACCTCCTCACCCCGAGAGAGGAGAGAGAGGGAGAGAGGAAGGGAGAGGGAGAGAGAGGAAGGAAGAGAGAGAAAAGAGGAAGGGAGAGGGAGAGAGAGGAAGGAAGAGAGAGGAAGGGAGAGAGAGAGGGAGGAAGGGAGAGAGGGAGAGGGAGAGGGAGGGAGAGGAGAGAGAGGAAGGGAGAGAGGGGGATGGAGAGAGGGGGAGAGAGGGAGAGGAGGAGAGGGAGAGAGAGAGGGAGGGAGGGAGAGAGTGAGAGAAAATTGTTTGCATGGCTTGGGACATACTGAGGGGGCTATGGCTGCATGCACCATGCTGCATGAGAAGTTTGCTTATAAACCACAGAACACAAGGGACAGAGCCCAGAGCCCATTTATGTTGGACATCATGGTTATGCCTCATGGTATGACTTTCATCATTTTCCTTCACTTTAGATTTCAAATATTCTGCGGGGTAAAGCTGAAAGCAGCATTGTTTTAACAACACACTAGGCCACTGCAGCCACACATGCTGAATTAATTGTCTGTCTAAACCTTACGATTGAAGCACACCAAAAAATGGGAATCACAATAAATACAAGATGATGAGCACAAGGCAGCTAATAGCAATGGCAATCACTGAAAGAAAGGAAGTTGTCAGATGGCAGCTGTGTCTAGCTGTCAAGTAGACAAATGTTCTGTGAAAACTGCACGAGTACAATGACAAAACACATCAGTGTGATTACAGAATTAAATACAAATTAATTGATCGAACTCCTTATTACACTGAATTATACTGACCTTCAAAAGCAGTCTCACTATCTCATATTTTCCTTTTGCAGCAGCTTCATGTAAAGGTGTGAATTTCCAAAGGTCAGCTACATTCACACTAGCACCATGTTTCACTAATAATTCTGTCACTTCATAATGACCATAAGAACATGCATTGTGGAGAGGAACCAAACCTCTGTAATCAATCCAAACATGTCACAAGATTCCTCCAAAAATATCATAATTTGTATTGCCTGAAAGAACTACAATTACCCTTTGTCCTTCGCATGGACATCAGCACCATGTGCCAGGAGAAATTCCACAACAGCCACTCGGTTGTATCCAGCAGCAAAATGCAGAGGAGTAGAATGCCTGTAACAAGGACTATGCATTAATTTATGAATATCAATGTTTTAAATACATAATTGTATAAATGCAGATTCAGATTGTGCGAGGAGGCAGTTCTTGATAAGCTACAGAAGCAATATGTCATGCGGCTCCAGAGGCAGCTCTACAGTGCTGCAGCACATATCGTGTATTCCAATTTGAAGAATTTTTATTGTGCAGTTTTAATTTACATAAAAATTGAACTTCCACTGATATCCATTGGTGGCCTGATTTGTAGACATTAGAGATTGCATGATGGGAGCCATAATTGTAAGAACATAATATATTTCCAGGTGAAAAATAGGGTCACTGAAATAGTCTTATGCCTGAAATTATTCCATATTCATCAATGTTGGCATTGCCTACCTTGCGTATTTCAAAGAGCCACTGCCAGTTTTAACTGAAAGATAATTGACATGTAAAAAGAGTGTTGCATTGTTGTCCATCCATAAGTAAACTTTTTATTTCAAAACTTTTGTGAAACTGCAGCACTCTGTCATTTTCTGTCACGAGCCACCTCTTTGCAAAACTGTTCGTCTTAAACATTAAGTTTATGCGTAAATAAATAAAATGAACAAACCAGGAATCATGAACTTCATAAAAATTGGGCATTTTAAAATTATTTATATATTTACTTAAAGGTGTCAAAATATTAAATTTTTCTTTAAACAATGGAGAATATTAAAAGAAACAAATAATACTTTTTCATGGTGAGCAGTTGTTTTAAAAACCTATAATTAATTTTGTAATAATCTTAGCTTTTGCGAAAACACACAAACTTAACAATCATCCTCACCTGCCATCTAAATCCCTGCAGTTTACTATTTGAGGATAAGCTGTTAGAAGGCGTTGCACCTGTTCAGAGTCCCCAGCTTTTGCTGCTTCTAAGAGTTGACATTCAACATCAGCACTTCCAGAGGGAGGATCTACAAACAGTAAGAAAAGATCAAAACTAAAGGAACCATGTCCTTCAAGCAAAACAGGTTTCTTTCTGGCTCATTCAAATCTATTTTTTTTAATGATCCATTACAATGTTCAATTCATATGATCAAAATGACACAATTTGGAAGGTTGTACAACATAACGAAACCACATTAGCTTTCCAATATTAGCACAAGTTTTGTAGTTGTAGCATTGTAGGTGTCCGCCCTAAGCTACTTGGAAAAACTAACATTAACCTACACAACACCAAACAGAACATTCTGACAAGCCAAGGCAAACATATTGATAGCATCACATGAAAATCTAATTTCATGAAATAGTACTATGGTCACACCCCAATCTCAGAATCTTGAATCTTACTGTCATCTATTTCACCTTGCTTACAGTTTTGTCAATGAATGTAATAATTTATAATTAAATTCATCTTTATTTGCTATTTACTTCTGGTAATTTGTTATAGCTCAATAAGTTAGAAATCTTCCTTTGGAGGCAGAGCATTTATTGTATATCCCCCACTACATCTAGCTCATCATATCCGGCCTGTGAACCAATGTGATTGGTGAATGGAGTGGAGAGCCCGACACTCGCTTTCACTTTTACTTCTACTATCCACTATCATCTTTGCCTTGCATTGAGGAGTTTTGGAATGATACAACGATATCATCTATTTCTCTATTCAAATTATTATGTTTTTTGCATTAATTTCTTGATATTTTGTTTACAGTATAAATGAGAATATTTTGACTAATTTCCCTGTCAATGAAAGTATTGATTAGAATTTTCTTCTTCTAAATTCTTCCCTGTTGGAGTGGAAAATGTAAGAACGCTTTTAGTTGATGATACTTTCTCTTAAGAAGTAATTGTTTTTAAGGTGAATTCGGATATACCAGCTGCTTCACCTGTCATTTGTAAAACTTGGCCCTTTAACTTAAACATATTTTCAATTTTTAATTTAATATTTTTATTATAGAAATAACGGAAAACATCCATTGCATTACAATCGCCGTAGTAAATGATAGCATAACAACATTTGCAGAAAATGACATAGCAAACACAATCAATAATACTTACCAGATCAAGTACAGTCTATTGCTTAATATAACTCATTTCAAAAAATCTCTTCCACCTAATAAATGCAATTATCAGTTAGTAATCTATGTAATAATTGTTTGAATTTAATGAAGGGCAACAGTTTAATGTATTGAGGAAGGGCACTAAAAAATTTCAAAGACATGTAACAGAAGGTTTTCTGTGTTTTACTGTAATTGCATCTAAAGAATCCAAGGCAATTTTATATCTCATTGCGTGATCATGATTAGAGCCCAATGTGTCATACAAATGTGAATTCTCTTTTATATAAAGAAGACATTGAGAAATAAGTATGGCTGGAACCGTCATAATGCCTAACTTTGCGAGACTCAACATACAGTAGCTGCGCATGGGAAGACGACAGAGTAATCTTGCACATTTTCTGCAGTTTCAATAGTCTATCAACAGACCGGTGATCCCAAAGTAGTGCACCATAGTTTAAATTACTGTGAATATGAGAATAATATACTGTTTTCAGAACCCTTGTACTAAACCAAGCCTAAGTCTACATATTAAATAATCCCCTTTGCAAACTTTAGATTCTACTCTATGGTTCTGATCCTCCCAATTCAAGATCAATTAATACTCCCAAGAAGTTAACAGAGTTTTACTGCTTATTTAAGTTTTGTTTAATCATGTTGTATGAGAGTATAAATTCTTGGACCTAATTTGCTGGACATAGAGTATTAAATAGATGCAATAATGCACACTAATCTCTGTATTCTTCAAAATGAAGATCATTAGCACCTTTGTTTACCACAAAAACAGAGTTAAGAATTACACTTGCACCAAAAATCAGTCTCGAACACTTTGGAAGTCACAGTAATATTGGACGAGATAAATGGGCACCTGGAGTGAATTTGAGTATCAGTTATCTTTTACTGGACAACTTTTCTTCCATTAGATGTCAAAGATAAAGAGCCTTTGTTGTTTTTTTTTTACTACGCCATTGAAATGGCCACTGAGGTTGAGCTACTACAATCACGCAAGCATACATGCACATGCTCAGGCAAGAGGAGAATCAAAGAAAGAAATGGAGGGATTATCTCCACTCCACGATGTTTTCAGGTGCAGATGGCTACAAGTATATATAAGGATATACTATGAGTCTATGTATCAATAAAAGTGTTTCAAGTGATGGTATCAATATTTTACCACTCACTTGTTTGAAAGTATGCAGATGAGCAATATCCTTTTTTCTATTTCAGTAATGAACAATTTACAAATCTCAAAAATAGAAAGTACACGTGAAAAGCTTGGAAACAAAAGATATTATATAAAAACTTTTTCAAAATTGTAAACAGGTTTCAAAATTTCATACCTTGCAAAATTTTTAGAACATTTTCAGTTGCCACTTGGGAAGCTGTGTAACCTTGAAGGGAGACAATACTGGGGTCTACACTGTATGAAAGTAGTAATCGGCAAGCTTGCAGATTGTCCTCTCTTGCACAACGGTGTAGAGCTGTGCCAAAATACAAGCATCATGAATTATGTTGAAAACAAATTAACAACAAACAATTTAATTTTGAATGAGTACTTGTAAATTAAGGTTTCCATGCACTAAATGTCTCATCATTACCAACCTGTCTGTCCTAGACCATCTAATGCATTGACTTTTGCTCCATGCCTTAACAAGGCATCCAGTACATCATAATGAGAGTTGTCAGCAGCTACATGAAGAGGAGTGAGGAATTCTTTGTTCTTCTCATTAAGATGAGCTCCTTTGCGAATTAGGGTTTCTAAAACTTGTTTACGTTTGGTAAAAGGGGAAGATACTGCACAATGCTGCAAGAGGTAATACATGAAAATTCAAAATTTTTTGTAGTTCTAATAAAACCATGACCCTCCTATTCTCATAAGATACTCTTTTGCTATCAATCAGAAGACCTGCTTTAAAATGTATATTTGCCATTTGCATCTAGGCAATTGTAACATAAATTCAATTGTGAAAGTATGTTTTCTATGAAGAGTGAACCATGCCATGGATGCAAAAAAGTAAAGTTCAGATTACAGTAATAGGGGTAATTTTAATGAAAACTTTGTACATTTATTATGGGTCAATCAAAAATGCCACATTGTTTTCAAAATAGCTTAATCTTATGCTTCAAATAAAAAAGCATGGATGGCGTATGAATTATTTACACACCAAATACATACTTTTGAAACAAGAATGGAGGCATGTAGAAGAAAGTTATTACTCTTTGTAGATCAAAGTCCAGCACAACCTAAAAATTTAAACTTCAGAAACATAAGAATGGAGTTTTTCCTGAGATTTGGGCATAATTTATGTTTCAAGGTGCAGTACTGTAGGATTCTGTTACATAAATACTTGAGAGCAGTTAAATATGGTAAAAATGTGGCAGTTACAAAAGTTTCAATATTAGATACCTTGGATTTTATTGACAAATCTTGGGGAGGGAGACAGTTCACTATTGCTAAACGATATAAGAAAATTGCCTGGCTTCCTTCCAAAATCACAGAAAGTAGTTAAAGATGATGCTGACTTTCAGTGTTAGTATTTGAGAATTTTCAGAATTTATGTAGAATCCATTGTTTTTACTGCTCAAGAACAATCATTAAAATATATGTTTAAAGAACATCTTCAAAACAATGGCATTGGTGATGGAAGTGAAAAAAAGTGTGATTATAATGATGACTAAAAATTTTCTCACAAGTGTAGACGCATTTGCAGGAAATGAATGAAAATATCTCCGCTGCAAAATGGTTGCAGCAGACATTTGTATACATTGGGGAAAGAAAGGGGGAGGGGGGGGAATAATAATTTTTTTTTTTAATTGGAAAAAACTTTTGTTTTTGAAATTGCACTTTTTTCTCTCTCCCTTTTCCCCTTTTTTATTCTTCTTTTTCTCTTCCCATAGTTTTGAAGAAAACTAATTCCCTTTATTTATACTTCATTCGTGAATTCTCGAAATAAAAATATACTGACTGGAAGAGAAATCAAAAACGAACTCACCAGAGGAGTGTCTCCAGTATATGGATGCTTGAAGTTCACAACATCTTGGGTTAAATACTTCTTGACCTTGGCAGGATCAGCCTGACGAGCAGCTTCCAAGAGACAATGACCTTTGAATTCATCTAAAGAGAAGAAATGGATGTAACTTTTAAAATTGCTAAGGATTAACACACATCCTACACATAAAATAATTTACAGAATGTAATGCCACGGAGTCTCTAACATGTATTTGGGTAGGATCAAAGGAAGTAGTTTAAAAATTAGAAGCTATTCCCTCACAGGGGTTTTAATTTATGCTAGACATTTTTTTATGATTTACTGAAGTTAAAAAGGAGTCAAGAGCCTATGGCAACTAGAGCAACGGTAACTGCACTAGTGATGGAAACCATGTGCCTATTGATCTTTAGTCCAGAAAATGCAGCCTTATGGGGGTAGCCCAGCAATCACCCTCCATCTCGAAAGCATCTTTGTAATATTCCTTTCCTAAGCACTGAAGTATTTGACTAATGAAGACTAGCAAAACATATTTTTGTCATATTTTGCAGCCTGAATATTATACCTCTGATGCAGAAATGGGGCTTTCTAGTCCCAAGTCACTCCTTCACAGTAATAATTCTTGAGAACTACTAGATATTGAGAAATGTTATAGCAGTATTCTTTCATCTCTTGAATTTTTTTCAACAATCGCATTTATCCAAAAAAAATATAGTTGCATTAAAACTGTCATGTTTTACAGGAATATAGGCTTCGCAATTCCTTTCCGCAACAGAAGAATTGCATACCATGAGAGAAGAGACTTTAGAAGAACATTTACTGAAATACCGTATAATAATTAGTAGATATCATAATATTCTCTTGCTTGAAGGATATTGTGAATGAATGATATTGAAATTGTACGACATTATTTTGCCTGAGGGAATTGCATTGCTTGATAAGGCAATGATATCATGTTTTATAACTGCCTGCAAGGATAACATGTTTTTAATGTTATTTTGGGTAGCTGGACTTATATTTTATAATTTGACAGGTTTTCTCGAGGCAGAAATAGTGATGGTTTGCTCTTACATGAAGAGCTATAACTTTTAGAAAATGACAGCTTCTGCCCAGACAATATCACTATTTGTCTGCCTGATAAACATTCTAATGCTGATATGGACAAACATTGTGACAACTCGGATGAGGAAGTATCATGTAAACCTGATCATCTTCCTGCCTGGATTTTGTGCTCCAAAACAATTTTGCAATTTTCAAGAAATTAAGAGAGGCATCTTATTGGAGACAACATGGAAGAAGTCATATGAGTAAGTGAAGAAACAGATTCAAGGAGCTTAACTCTGACACTATAATTCGTCATGGTCAAAAATCAAAAAGAACATCCTCTATCAAGCGGCATAAAAGCACTGACCTATCACATGGTATTCCTGAAATGGAATCCGAGTTTCATCCAAAAGTAGAAAATTTCTTGAAGAATACAGTAAGTTGTCTTGCCAATTCTTTTCAGACCTATTTCAGCAGTAATCAATTAGATCACATCGTAACTGAAAAAACAGTTCAGCAGGTCAACATTTACGTCACGATTTCAGTGTTTCACCTAATGAGATTTTAAACATTGGTGTTCTGCTTCTCTTCAACTATCATTGCTTCCCTTCAAGAAGGCTTTATTGGAAGACTGATCCTGATGTACATGGGCCCGTAGTTGCAATTACACTTCATCGAAATAGTTTTGATCAGGCGTGAACTACAGCTAGCGGACAATTCTACCAATGATTGGAGTGACCGGTTATACAAAGTGTACTCTCACTTTGATATTACATATTCCAATTTCAAGCAGGTGAATCTGGGTTTGACAGTTAGCATTGACGAATGCATTATACTCAACTGTGGCAGACATGGGGCCAAGCAATTTACTAGAGGGAAGTAGGAAAGATTCAGCTTCAAAGTCTGGGTAGCAGCTGATCCATTGGGTTATGTTCATCAGGCCGAACCATACTGTGGCGCTTCTACTTTCTTACCTACAGAGCGTTCAGTCATGTGACCGGTTTTTTTGACAGCCACTGATGCCATACCACATGGATCAT